TGTCCCTGCAACCGTCTTACTTTGACCGTGTGACTTACAGACCAACTTTTCATTTGACAGCCAATACCAGCAGCAGCAGAAAGTTGCTCCTATGGATTCACCTATATTCGGCTTTCTTGTTGAGGTGACAAGGTAGAAACTCGAGGTTGTAGCTCTTCGGCTAGTCAACCTATGTTTGGCTGCTATCTGTGAAGGATACTTATGTTATCGTAAGAAGGGATTAACGAGAAACCTTACACAATGTACTTAACACCACACTTCCTGGCATTAAATTTACGCTCGATTAAACATTATGTACGACTTTTTACCACAAGGAAACGTACGCGGAAGTTATCTTAAAGTAGGAGAGCAAGCATCTTATCTTTCACAAGAGGAGGGCTATTAAAAGTCTGTCAAATCGAGCAAAAACGCATTTTGCGAACATAGAAGACTATCAGCTCGAACTGACTTACTTATTCGAATTATTTTCTGAAAAAGGTTATCCTCGAAAATGCATACGTCGTTGCGTGGAATAGTATGAGTCAAAGAAAAAGGACTCAGGTAGTAGAAATCAGGCGCCCAAGCCATGCATTTAGCGGAGCCTTCCTTACATCAAAAACGTGGCTGAAATCATTGACAGGCATCTAGGGAAGCAAGAAATTTGGGTGGCTCATAAACCGACGGCACTTTACGCACCCAGCTGATACAACCTCAAGATAGAGTTAACTGTTTGGACAGGAAAGAAGTTGTCTACAGGATCACATGAAGAGTGCGCGATGCGGTTTATTGTAGTCAGACTGGAAAATCCGTCTCTGTACACGTTCACGAACATCAGTTGGTGGTTAAAAGACGAGACCACCTGTCCCAAGTCGCCATGCATACCCCAGACAACGGACACACCTTCGCATGTGACAAAATTCGTATTGTCCCTGCCTGCCCTTTCAAGAAAGACCAAGGATTCCTCGAAGCCATGCATTCAAATACATCGTTCATCAACTGGTATATTGATTTGGATGCCGCATACAAAAATCGCAAACATGAATGGGGAAATGCGAGGTAATCTCAAAGGAATGAAACACACCGCGATAGCCTACTGACTCTGGCATCACACTTATCAACTTTTTCCGCGCCTGAAGACGATCTGGAAGGCCAGTCTCGAGAATTTATGCAATAAATTATATATCCCATGGAAGGTATTCGAGCTCAACCTATGTATATATATATATGTGGGCAGAAGAACATTACCGACACCAACCTATGCATTTACAGATATGTGACGGGACTGACTAGTTGCGACTTATTAGCTGTCACCCATCAGCCGGCCATAACTAACCCCAGGTTTGCGACTTCTCATTAGTTAGAAATCCATTGTTATTTTTCAAAGAACACCCAGCTCGTTGCCCTGTCGTGAGCTTTGCTTCCTGTAAGCAATGAAATTATGTAAACCTTACCGGTGGTACCATGTCCAAGACGGACTGCTGTCTCTCAGACAGCAATGGCAATTGGTGAAACCAGAGTGCCAGTGGTGGCTGCGTCTTGTGTAAGAGAGCGGCGGCCGTTGCTTTTATATGACCCATTTCAAATGGTGTACGATTGGTTTTTTGCATTGCCCCAGGGCGTGTCACGCTAGGATGCCGACTCTGTGATAAGCTTCTTTCTGACCGCTGCGAAAACGTAGATTCTTTAAAAAATGGTAACTTGCAACGGCAGAAGCCGTCGCCATACGACTCACAAACCCGATCTTATGTGCGCAGA